ATATACATATGATTATCAAATGTGTGAATTGTCTAATCTCTTGCGAATCAGTCAAACCTGACAATAAGGAGTAAAATTTAGTCTCAGTCGTGACGTCAGTGCAAATGAGAAGGGTGGAAAACCACTTTATCATATTGAACTGCTCCATAAATAAACCAAACATAAACAAATGCTACGCACATGGAACCACAATAAAATTACCCGTATAGACAATAAATTAATTTTTTTGAACGATCGATAATATGATTTATTTTGCACTTTAAGGAAAAGATGTGGAATTATATGGAGAAACAGTGTCGATGTGTTTACAAGGTTCATCATGTGAAGGTAGATGCGGCTCTCTATTGCGTAATACAACTACGTGTAGTTGCGATGCTGAATGTTCAGTGTTTGGGGACTGCTGCTACGACGTCTCTGAAACATGTCAGCTAGTGACACAAAACAGAACAATACTCCAACATGAGACAACATTAGTAAAAGAGACTATGTGTTTCAAAACTGATCCAGAAAACTTCAAGATAGGATATCACGTCATCTCGACGTGTTCAAACAAATCAAGTGACACAACACTTAGGTTAACATGCGAACAACCGGACGCACATAATATTATACAGCAGATCCTAGTAACCGATTATCGTGGAAATGTATATAGAAACATTTATTGCGCAGCATGTGACGGCATCAAGAAGACAGACGTAGTTGCTTGGCATGTAGCCGCTTCGTGCAATTCAAGTGACGTTGAACGTCATTTGACGAATGTCTCAACAACAATTAATCGGGAAACGATGTTGCACAAAAAACTGGGACAAGAAGTAACTTGTTTTTCATACAAATACACACCACCAACAAACAACACAAAACCTCCCCGGCCTTGCCATTATATGCAACGAAAAGAAACGTGTGCTCATCTTGTTGACAAAGAACAAGTTGAAATCGGATGTGCCGCTTACTCGGCCACAGTGTATGCTGATGACACTGCATATAAGAATCCTCATTGTGCCATTTGTAACGCTTATTATTCATATAGTTGCCATCCTACTAAGGTTAAACCTCCACCAACATCGATACCAATACCGTTCGAATCCCCTTACACAACGTTAAATATACTAGTCAATTTTGCTGAAGGAA